AGTATAGATGTAAAATTAGAAATGATTAGGCATAAGGAAGAGTGGGAGTAGTCAATCCACTTCGTCCTGTTTCTTTTACATCCGCCTACTAATCCTCCTCTCCCAACACTCACCTCCATCAATCCATTCAAGCTAAACCTTTGTAGCTAAGTAAATAAAAATATTTTACTATGTTAACATATTTATTTTTAAAACATTATAATAAGTAGTTTGTCTCAGTGAACCTCTGGAGTGAATGTGCACCAGCTGGCACAACCTACGTTGCCTCAACACACCAACCCAATGAACTTTAAGGATGTTAAATAACTTATAAAGTTGAATAATTTATCAAAATAATGTGTTATCAAATGTTTAACAAATGTTTTAAGGTAAATAATTGTTAAAAGATATCTTTGAGTGTCGTGTACAATGTCATGGTCCCAATTTTACCTATTTCCATTATTTCTTATGGGATTAATTCCCCGCTTTAAGTGGATTCGTTATCAGAGGCGTTTTTCCGGTCCCAATTAACCGCGGATAACGAGGACCCATGTACACGAGTCAGTTAGCACAGGCTTGGTCAGAGTGTGGGATTTCATGATCAGTCCTTCATTTTTTCTTAACTCATTCATTTCTTGTGTTTGCACAATTCTGTAATATATCTGTTTAATTTCCCTCTCACATTTTCATTCTATATCTTCTCAGTATGTCATATTTCCTCATTACTGGTACCCATTTTTACATACCACTACAAGCCTGTATTAGTGTGGCAGTCGAGTGGGTATAGCATTCACCTCCTGTTCCGTGGGTTGGTGGTTCATTCCAAGGACTAAAAACAGGAAGGACACGCCATTGTAACATCATAAACTTTAGCTCCACCCCGTTCAATGAAGTCACGCTAGCGACACACATCATCTGGTGACTAGATGGTGATAACCTTGCCTTGGTTGACCTTTGATTGTTTCATTTTGAGAAAAATCATAAGGCTAAGGCTTTTCTGTTGCCAGGTATAACCAAATGAATGCCTTATGTTCTCATAGTTCTCCAAAAAAATAAGTGATATAGCAAAACAAAAAAATAGTAAAGTATTACAAGGAGACATGTGGGGGGGGGGGGGGCAATTTGCTGATGACATGGACGAAGCAAGTAAATTTTTTAGCCTATTAGCAATGCAAAGATTTTCCTTTTGCCAGACATGGCAAGGTGAATGTCTTACAATACTCTGGACAACTGGATATTGCCTTACAATGTATACTTAAGAAAATCAAACAGAATTAAGGAGATACAAAAAAAATATGAACTCTCTTTAAACAAGTTCTCGGGTAGCCTAATGTGGTGTTTATTTTATCAGACCACTTGTAGGCACACAAGGAGGTCACCAGATGATGCGTATTTACAACAGTGATGTCACCGAGCTGTGCATTGTGGGTAAAACGAGTGCTTGGTAAACTATCCTTACTCATATTTTATCATTGGTTCAATCCCCTGGGCACTTCCACTTCACCCAGCTGTAAATAGGGACCTAAATTTACAATTTTGAAGAAGTAAATGCTGTTGAAAGCAGTACTGGCCATGGTGCCTCCTTGTGTACTGAAGGCTTAACACTCTTGGGCAGTGGTTCTTAACCTATTTTGAGCCACAGACCCCTTTGAGAATCTGGTGAAAGCTATGGACCCCCTCCCTAGAAAAATGCACATTAGTACATAAACACAACTTTGCATGCAATGAATATACTTTATTTTATTGAAAATTCATTGCCTCATACAGTGTATGACATACACAAAGTATGAATAGAATAAACATTCTAGAAGTCAAAACCTGACAACGATGACGATTGTATGCTACCTGACCGTGTACAGTAGCATCCCATGCCACCCTACAGATTTATTGGTTTTCTTCAGTAACCAAAAATACATACTACATAACATCTGGTATATATTGACAAAAATAGAACCACTTAATATAAAAATATACTGAATATAAATGTTAATTTTTTATCTGACCTTCACGGACCCCCTGAAGCCCATCCATGTGTAAGGGTGTGTGTTTTCCAACACCTACACCACCCTTACCTTACTTACTTCTCTTGTCTTAGTTCTTACTCTTACTCAGGTCTATCACATATTCTTTTACTTACTTCACTGGTTATTGCATAACCTTAATTCTTTGTGGTAGCATGGTCATTCTTTTGGTAGCATGGTCGAGGGTCTAGGCACATGGGTATGGTAATTCTGGTATCAAGTCACTTGGATGGAAATAAAGGTAAAATACTGTGGGAGAAATGAATACACCTAAAATACTCTATGAACAAGTTTATTAATATGAAATCAAAGGGAAAAAAGATATTATTAACATATGATTACTAGGCTCAACTCCTGGGCTTATTGCAGACTCAGTACTTTCTTCTTTACTTATTTTCTTATTTACTTATTTACTTATTTACTTATTTTCTTATTTCTTTACTCAACAGTAATTACTCAGATCTTACACTCGTACTGCACCCAACCTTACTGGTGTTACATTACATGGCATAGCAGGACCAGTTCTTTGGCCCTCCTCACAATACATAGTACATGACACTCCTTGTAGATTACTTTACTTCTCACACCTACTGGTGGTACGTGGCATTACAGTACAGTTACAAGACTTTACTCCTAGTCCCAAGTGGACAACTTTGCTTCTCACCCATTACAAGGTACTTTACTCAACATACCATACACGTTAATAATGAAACTAACAGACACAGGGGTCCACTACCCAACATGGGATAATTATTTCCAACTAATTATCCTTAACATACATATTAGAACACTCTCTGTGGACATATACTTCCAGGGTGCGTCCCAGGGTAGAACACTGAGATTCACGACTGTTGTTGTGATCGGTGGTAGCCAGACACATGGCGAGTCTGGGGTCTGGCACCACGAGGCAGTGGAGCATATTAATCAGGCCGCATCGGTGCCATCGTTTCATGTATTGTTCCCTGCTGAGTAGCTACTACATCCGGGGCAGTTGTCGAGTGATCCAAGAGTCACAATTGGATCTGGAGGCAAACGGGAGAGCATGGCATCAGGGGAGGGAAGCATGACAACACAAACAAAACAAATCTCTTGTCTGGGAACGACAGACATATTTACGTTATAGTACTTCTTACACTGGGTGAATGACAATTCAACTGTTAAAGCATGAACACTGATGAAGACTGATCTTCACTACAATTAAGTGAATCAAACTGAATGGCTACACCTAAACATACCTGGAGGCAAACGGGAGAGCATGGCATCAGGGGAGGGACGCTCGCCCTGCCTCATCCCGCGGTATATATATCCCTGAGTTGCCAGTGATCACTACTCACGCAATGACAGTAATTACAAACAACTCTAACTGTTACTCATTCAAAGATGACCCTCAGTTGACAAAGGTCTGGCGAATTACTAGAGTTGATTTACACAGACTAATTCAAGATTGAGCTTCCCAGGAGAAAGTGGAATAACAACTGATCGACAACTGTCTTCACAATGGCGAGGGAACACAAGTGTAGCGTCTATGGGGAAAAACACGTCTTCTGAGGGGTCGCTAACCCACTCATGTTTTGCGGTCGTGGAGTTTAATAAGAATCATTAGTTAAATAGATTAGCAGTCAACGTGACCATGACACATGGACCCCCTTGGGGGTCCATGGATCCCAGGTTAAGAACCCCTGCTCTAGGGGTTTTCATATGCAGAATTGCATATGAAATCAAAAATTAAAATAAAATAATTTTAAGTTTGTGTATGAATGCTGGACATGCAAGACATTTGGCTACGTCAGCACAACTTGGCACCTATGTAGATTGCACTCCATGGTCACCACATCAGTCTCCCTTTTATTTTTAAAGGACCCAGGATATAGCATTGACCCACATTTCCCACACATTTTTTGCAGCTTGTGCTGATGTCTCATGCATCACAATGATTTTATTTATTCATAACAGTGTTGTGAGGGTGGAGAGGTGGAAAAGCATAAAAAAGTGCATGGAGATTGCACCACATGGTGATAGTGTGGTGCTTCCTGATGCCTCTCTCCCAATGTTCCTGGCCCTTCTAGCAAAAGTGATAGTTTGTATGGCCCTCCAACAAGCAGTCATAGTGCTATGATCAATATATACAATTATATTTTGCACCCAGAGGGAAAAATTAATAATATGTACTCGGTTTGAATGCGCTCATCAGGAAGCAAAAGTTTCAACACTATTGCCTAGTGAAATGCTAATTTTTTCACAACTTCTCTATAATTTTTTTTCCTAAATATGTACACTTTGTAAAGTAATAAGGTTCATATTGCAATCACATGAAATAACGAAGATATAAAGTGATGTATTGACATTTTCATTAAGCATAAACAAAACTTTTGTGTTCTATTTGTGCTTGAGTATAGAAATAATTATTTTATCCTGATTACTCATATAAAACTCTGTTTGTAGTTATTTTATTTCCAATGCTAATGGAACAAATCCCACCCTTTTATCTCAAATACTGTAGCAAGTTTGCTTTGACTAATTATGTACAATTATCTCTCCTGTGGTGCAGTCAAGTGCGGTAAGGTGAGTAACAGGCCAAACGCCGAGCATCTCATGGGAGAGCGCCTACCCAAACCCCAGAGTGTTAATATACAGTGTGCTGTATCCACATTGTCCCGAACAGGCAGTCGTGCCTTTTGGGACCCACTTTCACTTATTATATGCCTATCCCTTATTTATGTTTGAGACTATCCAAACATGAAATTTGTAATATACAGTACTGTAGTTTTTTTTTTTATACTGAAGATGCATTGTAATATCTGTAGATTTACGTACTCCAGATGTTTATTGTTTATCCGGATTTAGTTACTACATCTGTGGACCATTAGAGTATAAGTAATTCACATTTTTAGTTATTCAATGTGTTAAATAAGATACTTTACTACATATGTATAGTTAACAAGTTGTATTTTTCTTAGCAAAGATTCCTGAGAAACAATGATAACTATTATCTTTTCCCAGAAAGTGCCTTCCACATTCCAGAAGAGGAAGCACCAATTCCTAAGATTCCAGTGCAACCCATTGGTTATGAAGATGCATGGCAGATATTAAGGTACAAAACCAGCAATTCAATTGATAGGTTAACATGACTGAAGGAATATGAGAATTTTTTCCAATTAACCTTTTGTAGACAAGGAACTAGATTGGTAGACAGGTTGATGGTTGTGTAATAGTGTACCATTTTGTGGCTGCGGAGGATTGAGGGTGTCATTTATAAGGTTATCATTTTACAAAATGTCGACTGTAGCCATCAGACTAGCAGTATTGTAATACCCCAGTTAGCACTACTGATGTATCTTGGACCTCAATATGTGTGGGGAAATCAGCCACCAAAAACAGGGTCTCCTTTATTGTAGAGGAACAGCAATCTCCACAGGTGGTTTAGGCACCATTCTGACTAAGCGTAAATACAACATCGAATTCTGGGTACAAATGAGTGGCGCCTTGCGCACCATACAAAACATAAATTATTACATCCTTTCTCCCCTAACAAAAAGAGTTTTATTGCTTATATTGCTTATAAACTCAAAATGAAATGTTAACTGTAAATCCAGTCGAGTGGGCTTGTGAACAACTCGACCCAACCTGGTAATTGCACTGCTGGGATCTTTTGATGCAGTACTTACCGGACTCTTACAATCTACAATTAACTTGTCATCAGGAAGTGAGGCTTTTTCCTCATGCTTTTCTTTGTTAGGTGTATTATTCATATTCTTAACGTTCACATCCTTGAGAGGTTCACAAGAAGACTCTTTACTCAGATCAAAACTAATAAAATTATCACCGATCTTCACATTTTGGAAAAGGTTTTCATAAACTTCATTTGGCAACTCCAAAACAGATTCCTGATCACTCAGAACATCATCAATCCTCCTAACTCTGATCTGGTCAACATGTCTTCTCACAATTTTTCATTACTTAGCTTAACATGATATAACACAGGACCTGTCACTTCTATGACAACTCCTGGTAACCATCTCTTCTTCCTGCCACTATAGTTTTCAACAAACGCCTCATCTTAAACCTCAAATTCATACAATTAAACACATTTTTCAGGATACCTTTTTTGTGCTTTTGTTTCTCTTTCGCCCTAAATCTGAAATTTGGGCTAATCAATGACAAATGGGACTGTAACTTCCTACCCATTAACAGTTCAGCTGACGTAGCACCAGTAACAGACTGAGGTGAATATCTATACCTAAACAGGAACCTGGACACTTTTGTTCTGATATCCCTTTTCTTCATTTTTTTAAACTATTCTAAAATGTTTGGATGGCCCTTTCGGCCAACAGATTGGAGCTTGGGTGAAAAAGGTGCACATGTTTTATGTTTAATTCCATTACATGACATGAATTTCTGAAATTCACTGATTGTGAACTGAGGTCCATTATCACTCACTAACATACTTGGTATACCATGTGTAGCCTTGCTATTGTTGCTATTGAAGTTATACTATTCATCGCCTTTACATCCATCCATTTGGAATAAGCATCAATCACTACTAAAAACATACTGCCTAAGAAAGGTCCAGCAAAATCAACATACACCCTCTCCCAGGGCTTCTCTGGCTAGGGCCATGGGTGAAGGGGGCTTTACAGGGTTTCCCTCTATTTACTTGACAGGTTTCACAGAACTCGACTACTTTTCAATATCACTATTCATATTTGGCTACCACACATAATATCTGGTTATACCTGGGTGTTCCTCATGCAACTCATGCAAAACACTTCTCTGACCAGCTGGACGAATAATGACCCTATTCCCCATAAAATACAACCATCCTCTGCACTCAATTCATTTATACGTACAAAAAATGGCCTAAACGCCTCAGACTCCGCAGCATTTGACCAACCACATTTGACAAATGATAACACTCTGGAATAAATTGAATCGCTAGCAATCCACTTCCTAATGTGGCTTGCTTTAACAGGTGAGCCTTCAACACGTTCCAACAATAAAACCAAATCAGTAGGAAGTGGAAAAGAGCTGGGTTTATATGGCAGTGGTAACCTACTTAAGGCACCAGCTTTACCATTATCCACACCACATCAAAACTCCAAGTGGTAGTCATAAGCTGCCAGAGCAATGGCTCAACGCTGGATTCTGGCACTTGCCATATTGGGCAAGGCCTTATGTTCATGTAATAAGGTTACAATAGGTGTGTGATCTGTGACTAGTGTAAAATGTCTTCCATAAATACAGTTATGAAAATATTCATCATCAAAAATTATGGCAAGACTCTCTCTGTCAATTTGGGCATAATTCTTCTCAGCATCCATAAAAGTCCTGGAGGCAAAAGCTATTGCTAATTCAGTGCCATCATCATTTCTGTGTGCCAACACAGCACCCACACCATATGGTGAAGTAACTCAAAACAAAACAATTGGTGTATGAGGGTCATAATGTACTAACACATCACTAGATATCGGTAACTCGTTTGCTTTCTGGAAAGCCTTTACTTGTGGGTGCACCCACTGCCAAGTTTTGCCTTTACGCAACAGCTTAGACAAAGGTGCAAGAATGATAGACAGGTTTTTAAGAAATTTACCATAAAAATTAATGCCTCCCAGAAATGACTTGAGGGTATGTACATCTGTTGGCTCGGGTGCATCCATAATAGCTTTTACCTTGCTGTCTATAACATGTATACCTGCAGAATCAATTCTATGACCGAGATAGGTCACACTGGATCGGAAAAATTTACACTTCTTGATCTTTACTTTAGGCCTTTATCATTTTATTTGTACAAGACCCTCTCCCAATTTTCCTTATGATCTTTCACAGTAACACCTGTAATTAATGTCACCCATATTGACAATAACATGTGGAATACTCCTTAAAAGATTACACGCACACACATTTATATATATATATATATATATATATATATATATATATATATATATATATATATATATATATATATATATATAATTACCCTGCTTTACGCGGTTTCACTTTACGCGATTCTCATATACGCTGTGCCTCGCCAGAACCGAACTTTCACTTTCCACGGTTCATCTACCCATATACGCGTGAAGTATAATTTTTTTTTTATTTAGCTCATAAAATTCATACAAATTACCCGGCCAGAATATAATTTACATTGCTGGAATTCTTACAATTTGATGATCATTTTGAATATAAACATCATAGATTTTGCATTAGACATACAAATTTTAGATGCAATGTTTACTCTGAGTAAATATGTTATCTTTTGTGCAAAATATATGACATTTATATTCAAAATGTTCCTGGTCTTACAAGGAATCCAGCAATGTCAATTATATTATCCTAACTTTAGTCTGAGGTATTATTTGTTACTAAAAGTTAAAATTAGTTTTTCACCCAACATTTCTCTGGTAGGGAGGGAAGGTGGGGGGTGGGGGGGAGGGTTGGGACCGACCGACCATCTGGCACGGTTGGAAGAGGGGGGGAGGCAAGTTGGGGTACTTTGATTGACAGAGAGTGTCGTGAAGAATATTTTTTTTTTTATTAACTGAAGATATTTGTTTTAGCTCATAAAATTCATACTAATTACTGGACCAGAATATAATTTACATTGCTGGAATTCTTACAATATGATGATCATTTTGAATATAAACATCATGGATTTTGCATTAGACATACAAATTTTAGATCTAATGTAATAATTTGGTTTACACAAAGCAAGTATTTTATCTTTTGTGCAAAATACAGTCAACCCTCACTTTACGCGGTCCCACATTCCGCGTTTCTACGTTTACGCGGTGCCCTGCCAGAACCCAGGATGCTCACATTCCGCGGTGGGTGTACCCCTTTACGTTGGTGAAGTATAATTTTTTTATTTAGCTCATAAAATTCATACAAATTATCCGGCCAGAATATAATTTACATTGCTGGAATTCTTACAATTTGATGATCATTTTGAATATAAACATCATAGATTTTGCATTAGACATACAAATTTTAGATATAATGTTTACTCTGAGTAAATATGTTATCTTTTGTGCAAAATATATGACATTTATATTCAAAATATTCCTGGTCTTACAAGGAATCCAGCAATGTCAATTATATTATCCTAACCTTAGTCTGATTTATTATTTATAACTAAAAAAGTTAACAGTCTGGTACTCCCACACATTTATCTGGTAGGGAGGGTTGGTGGGGTGGGGGGGAGGGAGGGACCGGCGACCGACTACCTGGCATGTGTGAAGAATATTTTTTTTTTATTAACTGAAGATATTTGTTTTAGCTCATAAAATTCATACAAATTATCCGGCCAGAATATAATTTACATTGCTGAAATTCTTACAATTTGATGATCATTTTGAATATAAACATCATAGATTTTGCATTAGACATACAAATTTTAGATGTAATGTTTACTCTGAGTAAATATGTTATCTTTTGTGAATAAAATATCACATTTATATTCAAAGTATTCCTGGTTTTACAAGGAATCCAGCAATGTCAATTATATTATCCTAACTTTAGTTTGAGGTATTATTTATTACTATATCTGGTTTTCCCCCCAAAATTTCTCAGAGGGAAGAGCCAGCGAGTGTAGTGTGAGAAGAGGGGGAGTGGAGTCCATTATTTGAATGGACATTAACTTGGCGACTGTATTTCTCTTAAGTATTAATTGTATGCATGTACCATCATAAAATTAAGATGTTATTTTTACTAGAACATAGGTATTGTGTAGGAAAAAGTGGAGTTTGGGGGTCAGCTGGTCTCTATTTCATTTAATCCCATATGTTATGTTATTCACTTTATGTTTTTCTCACTTTCCGCGGTACCCTATGGGTTACATTAACTGCGTAAAGTGAGGGTTGACTGTATGTATATATATATATATATATATATATATATATATATATATATATATATATATATATATATATATATATATATATATATATATATATATATATATATATATATATATATATATATATATATCAGAACTGAAATCATGATATATACCGTATATACTCGTGTATAGTTCGAGTTTTTAAGACCAAATTTTTAGGCAAAAAATTGGGGGTCGTCCTATACATGCATAAT